TCGGTTTGAAATCTGCCCCCTACTAGCAGTGTGACATCCTGCAAGTCACATAATGCTAGTGCTGCTATTACTAATAACAACAATGAGACCATCTAATGTGTCCTGAGTGGTTACTATACGCCCGGCAGAGTTTTATACTTAGTGCTTTATAGTGTTTTGTATTAACTGTCTCATTTAATCCTCATGTAAACCTTGTGAAAGAGGTACTATTATCATCATTTTATAAATGAGTTAGAGGAAGAATTTAATTCTTCAAGTACACGCAATTAGCATGGGATCTGAGGCAGGAACCCTGTTATTCTGTCTCCACATTCCACGCTTTTAGCCACGTTTGGCTGCCTCTCTGCGCCTCAGTTTCCTTCTCCGCAAGAAGGACAATAATAGCTCTCTTGTAGGGTTGGTGTGAGTACAGAGATCATGGAGTAAAGCATAATGCAGTGAGTGCTTATAAAAACCAGTAATTCTTATCACCACCCCAGTGGTGTGGCTATTTACAGTATCAGAACAGTAGTCAATTTCTAACAGGAAGAATTCACACATCCTTTCCTCTTTGCACTCATGTCTCTGTGAACAGAGCCAAGCTCTACTCCCTTAGGAAAAGCTGGTAGAATTACTAGTTCCAGCAGGGCCGTTGAGCAGGGTCGCCCATGACTCGAGCATCCAACTTGTGACCATTTGGATGATTGCCTAGAGGTATACACTCTCCAGTAATGTGCTCCTTTTGGTACGATAGATAGTTTTCTCCTTTGGAGTCATGGAAAGATAGCCGTGAATCTGGGTCAAAAGTCTACACATGGCATAATCTGTGTCTTTTGCTTCTACCCACAAAAAGAAGATTTTCCTGCTGGCAACTCTAGCTGGCATTGTGGGATTTTGCTGAGGCAACTGTATGAAGTTATCTGACCCAGGAGCATCATATGAATTTTTAAAGACTATTTGGAACATCAGGGATCTCAACACAATATGGCCACATCCAGAGCAGCAGCCTGGTTCAGCAGTCCTCACTTTAATGGCAGTCCTTTCTTAAACTCTAACTGACAGAGAGCAGCATTCCAGAGCATCAGTCGCTACTTAATTGTGCACTTAAAGGCTGGATATGTAAACCTTAAAGATATGCATTTTTGCTGTGGAAATACTTTTAGAACAGACGTACTGGATACAACAGCTGCCATCCGAAGCCTCCTGGTACCAAGAGATGCTTGTCTGGAAAAGCCAGGAGTGGCCAGATAGCGTCTCATCCTCAGAGAAGCCTGCTGGTTGTTTCCCAATGTGCTGGTGTGTTTCGCTGTGGATATTCTCACCCACAGCACATGGTCAGGCAGGGGATGCACCGTGCTACATCTGCAGCTCCTTCTGCTCACTGCCCTACATCCACGATGGCTCAAAACCACGGGTCATGTGAAAAGTACTTGGCTAGTATGTTACACAATTATTTAAATGCGTCCCAGGCTAAAATTTCCATTTCTAAAGCAACATGTCTCAAAATGTGGACCTAAGTCTACCTGCATCAGAATCACCTGGGGCGCTTGTTAGAAATGCAGATTCCTATGCATATCCATCTATTTACTATGTTATTGTTGGATCTGTCTTGTTAGCATGTGAGCCCTGAAGAGTAGAAACTGGTCTGTTTATCCAGGCACCCCAACGGTGTTTGGCACAGAGTAAGTGCCCAATAAATATTTGTGGAAGGAGTTAATTCCTGGGTCCTATAATCAAATCCCCAAGGGCAGGGCCAAGAAATCTGCATTTTAAAGACATACGCAGGTGATTTTTATGCATACTAAATTTTAAGAACCATTGTTCTAAAGTAATTCAGCCAATTCTAGGATAAATGGAAGATGGAAAGTTTTGTCTCCAGAGGCCCCCATACTACCTGGTCAGTCATTACTGTAAAGTGAACATGTTAATAGCATCCTTGGGTTGAACTTTGGCCTTCTAGTCACATACCTCCAACAAATGTTGACCTGCCACCTACTATGTGCCAGGCTCTGGGTTCCTAAGTGGATAAAATAAATATGGGCTTGGAAGGTGGAGTGCCTCGGAAAGGCTGGACCTGCCCTGTCAAGAGCCACACCCACCGCTTTCCACACTGCGAGAAGCGAATGCTTGGTCATGACTATTTCACGAGGCTGCCCCTTCCTACTGCCCCAAAGCTCACTGATGGGGAAATGGAACAGACTCTGCGTTCCTTACCAATGTCCTGGCAGGCTTGAATGACACCCCTGCTCCATGAAAGACAGATATTTCCTTAAAGGATTTATCTTATCTTAAAAGAATCCAGGGGCCGGCCCAGTGGCGCAGCGTATTAAGTGCGCACGTAGCGCTTTGGAGACCGGGGTTCACTGGTTCGCATCCCGGGTGGGGACATGGCACCGCTTGGCACGCCATGCTGCGGCAGGCGTCCCACATATAAAATAGAGGAAGATGGGCATGGATGTTAGCTCAGGGCCAGTCTTCCTCAGCAAAAAGAGGAGGATTGGCATTAGTTAGCTCAGGACTAATCTTCCTCAAAACAAAAAAAAAGAATTGAGCCTTTCCAAATAGGTTTCCTATGTTTGGGCCCTTCCAGTTTGTTCTGGACCCTGACATTTTATTCCAGCCTTTTAACAACATTTGATCTTGGGCAATCACTTCACCTCTCTTGGCCTGTTTCCTCATTTGAAAAATGAGACAATTATTCTAGAAACAGGTCTTGAACCCCTTCCAATTCCAATGTACCCCAATCTGTGACTTCTTGGTGACAACTTATTGCCTTGTGCTTGACAAAACATCCAGATGTGGGGCTGGCCCCATGGCATAGTGGTTGGGTTTGATGTACTCTGCTTCGGCAGCCCACATTCATGGCTTTGGATCCTGGGCGTGGACCTACACCACTCATCAGCCATGCTGTGATGGCGACCCACATATAAAGTGGAGGAAGTTTGGCACAGATGTTAGCTCAGGGCTAATCTTCCTCAGTTAAAAAAAAAAAATCCAGATGTGATTAGATGAGCAAATAGTGACTGTCAAGTTAATCCACCCAAAACTCTCCAAGGCAGAGGTGGTTAACTTGTGGTAGACTAGGTAAAATTTGAGATTTGCAAACAATTTCTCAGTATTCTCTCTCAATTTCCCTATTTACCTACAAAAATACTATGGCAATTTTAATGTGCTTAAAACTTTATGTAAAAGATAAATATAATATCCAAATTTCCTCTGAAAGTTGAACACTTTGTTTATATCAGGGCTGAAGCAAAGTGTTTTAGCACAGCCTGGTCTGGGAGAGGCTGAAAATCACCTGTTTGAGGAATGTCCCCAGGCCAAGCTGTAGAGAGAAACCCCAGGAGTGAGACTGAGACCCCCTCCAGAGCTCCTTTCCCAGCCCCACCGCCCCACCTCTCCCTTCCCTCGGTCCCTCCCTCGGAGACCTCATCTCACAGAAGCTCCCAAAGCTGGGCTGCTCTGAATTGGAGTCACACCCTCCACACCAAATGTACGTTTACTGCTTTTTGTTCCGTTCCAGTCTGGCCAATCACTGCTCACCTGTCCATTACTGTAGCTCAGATAGTTGCATTTTAACAGCCTTTCTTTGGAAAATAGCTTCACAGAAATGAGTGGTTCTCAGTGCTTTTGGGCCTCACGTCTGCTTTATATTCCTACTGTCTTGTAACACCTCCTTGATTAGCCTGAAATGCAAATTGTAGAAAATATAATGCCCAAATTATTTTTATAAAATGGAGAAATATTAGAAAAGTAATTTATAAGAAAATAACATATTTCAATATGCAAAAGCTTAGGCGAAACAACACTGGAAAATGTAATAAAGTTGCCCGATGCTCACTCTCTATATAGAATCACAGGGACTGCTGCAAATGGGCTACTGAGCCATAGTGACTAAGACCAGAGCCCCCCTCGCTGCTCCCTGACTGCCAATAGCATCCTCCCTCCATTTATTGTGACAACCTCCTCCCCATAATTTGTCTTTCCAAATTGCCTTTTAAAAACCTAGATCAATGACCCTGATGTGAAAAGTTTAGCCAGTTTAACAACCTCAAGAGAGCTATTTTTGTTCAAAGAATATTTCACAGCCTTCAGTGCCACACAACTAGTCTGTCTGACCTTTGCCTGTTTTTCTCGCAAAGCCTCAGGATAGGATGTCACAGTGCATAATAATCTCAGCAGTAAAAACTAACGTGAATGGAATACTTCCCATATGCCAAGCACTTTTAAAATAATTTTGCAGTTATTAACTCATTTAATCCTTATAACTTGATAAATAATATCACTATGTTCCAGGGATAAAAATAATAGGCACAGGGAAATTAAGTAACTTGACTAAGATCATACATCTAATCATATCTAGCTTCTTGTAGAAATTGACTCCTTTTGTTATTCTAATAGTGGGATTTTATAGTAAGGAAAGTACTATGTGTATTTTTATTTCAGGAAAGAAAAATTGGGGGGAGGAAAGAATGTTTCTTTCTCCAATGCCTGTCTCTCTAACTGTTTGAAATTTGAGCCCATGAATTGTTGGCCCGTCTTATGCTTTTAGCACTTGCAATGTAATTAGGCAGCTTTGACTTAATATTTTCATTCAAATGTTTCAGGATGGATTTTCTCTTCTTGGCATTTCATCTATATGTGAAATTGCAGGTCCATTCATTAGACAATTTAGAATACAAACCTTTTTCTGCACTCTCTTTTCATTGCCAAATATCTTGCTCCAAAGCAGGTTTGTTTTAACCAAATTAAGATGACCTAAAAAGCAGACTGTGTGCAGAGTGGAGGGACATGTGGCTGTTCTAACAGCACAGTGTGGTCAGGAGTCTCCTAAACATGTCAGAAATTACAGTCATGCATCATTCAGGGAGGAAATGCATTTCTTTCTGGAAAAAGCCAGGGAGTTGTTTTCACTGATCATTATTATCAATGGTTGGACTTTTACTCTCACATGGCTCCTTGTAAAGACAACAAAGTAAATTATTAAAAGCCAACTTGTAATGTATTTTTTTTCCTTTCAGGGGGAAAATGATCCCATCGGATCTTGAAAGAAGAATCCTTGAAGCCAAACAAAAAGTAAGTTTTTCGAGGGGGCTTCATGCAGCCTGTAACAAGCAGAGGGTACATCTTTCTATTTCCATCCAGAGGAGAACACACTTTGGTTTTGTTTTAAAAAGAAGACCCGTGCCTCAAACTCCCAGCTTTAATGAGAATATGAAATTTTGTATCCAGTCGTTATTCCTCTGAGTTGTAGGCTCTGCTTTGACAAGATCTAAGTTGCTGAATAAATATATACACAATGATCATGTAAGAGTTTCCAAAGCACTTGTCTCCCTGTGTGCCGAGGGCTGGCATTAAACAGACACTCACTGGAAAGATCTTTTCACAAGTGGAAAATATCGGAGTGTTAATGCCATGGGTGAGTCACCATTGTGTGCTTGCTTGAAAGGAGCCAATTTTTCCTGCCTAGACTCTCCACGCGTCTTATTGTCCAGGAAGTCATTTAGAATTCTTCTAAAAAGAGTTCTTGTTACTTCTAAAAAGAAGTAACACGTTCTGAAGACCTGTGAAAGGTTCCCACAAAGCTCTAGAAGGTCATCCCTGGATTGTTCAAAAGCCAGAGAGCTTGTTTTTAGAACTCTCTTAGTGTAACCTTTACTAGATACAATCTGTTCCTAGGTCAATGACATAACACATGCATTTCATTGTTATGAACTCAGAAATATTTCTTTTCGTATGCCTCTTTTTTTCCTACAAAGTGGCAGTGAGACATTCCTCTTGTTCTTGTACCAGATCTACTTCTAGTAACATAAACTGTAAGACTAAAGCTTTGCTGCCCCCTAAAGACTTCCTCTGTAACATCATGTTACATCTAGTCATGATGGAGCGACGACATTCCTCCTGTTCGAGGCATTCTTCTGACTTCTTTCAGCAACCCCCTGTTATTTCAATCAATTTTCATTTAGCCAGGGCCAGACAGCCTGAGGACCACTTAGAGAGATAAAAGCCATCGCTATTGGGGCTGGCCCCGTGTACACTCTCTCTTCTAAGACTCCAAATAATTATCTGAGAATTTTCTGCAAGAGAAAATTCTCTTGGAAAAATCTCTGAGAATCACAGGCTGGTTGGAGTTCCTTCTCTTCTTGCCTGCTCTCTCTAGGGGATTTACTGAGTTCAGAGGCCCTGTTATGAAAAAGGAAGACTAGAAAGGCAAGCATAGGAGGAAAAAAGGCCAGAAGATCTACCCAGAAGATATACGGCTTGTGGGCACCACAAAGCTTACTCACCTCTGGGTCCAGCGTAGCCCCTCCTGAGAACCAGAATGTCTGTTCTCATAAGGCAACTGGCAGGTCCAACAGAATGGCCTGGAGAACTCTGAACCCAGAGAATGAACATCCTTCCTACTAGGCAACAAGATATCTTGTCAATAATCCTTCTGATTATTCCAGAAATGCAGATGCGTATGACAGGAGAATTTCCACTGTTTCTATCAGCTTTTTAAAAGAATCCTTGAACCCCTGTTTTACATTATTTGGGTCTTTCCTGTTTGCCCAGGGATTTGTCCCTTTTCTTGTGAGTGCCACGGCTGGGACCACCGTGTATGGAGCATTCGATCCCCTCTTAGCTGTCGCTGACATTTGCAAAAAGTACAAGATCTGGATGCATGTGGATGTAAGTATCTTACAGGGACTGCCACTAAAAGTTCCTTCCACATTTTTCACCTGGAGCTCATGGAATGAAATTTGTTTCTTCTTTTTTTTTTTCACTTTAGGAACCTATTTTCAGAATGGTGATATTTAAGCTTTTAAAGATTGCGGAGACAATGTAGCATAGAACTCACACAGTACACATTGGCTGGAAGCAGCCTGAGGCTAATTATACCTTAATGTTCCCAACAGGATAATCTTATTTCCATGACTAGTATGCAAGCAGAGCACTTAGTTCTGAATTCATTGCACCATAACATCCAAGGAAGAAGATAGCCTACATACATACACACAGTCACACACATGCAGAGCCTACTACCCTACAGAATGATCACAAGGGTAAGAAGCAGCTGCATTTATATAGGAAACCAAGAGGCTAAAAAACTCAAGTCAGGTATTCCTATATTTGGAGAGGAAAGCATGCTTCACAACTTTCTAGGAAATATGGACCACCACATTTCCAATTTCTTAGCTAACTAAGAAGATAAGTTATATCTAGATGTTTTGACTCCAGGCCTAGTCACATTCAAAAATAATGGAGATGTGTCCACCAAAATGTTTTCAAGTGAAAAAATGTTGATTTTTAGAAGTACAAATTGAAGGGATCTAAGTTTAGACCAGTATTACTCAAAGTGTGATTCAAAGATCAGCAGCCATGTGCAGACTGTGTGTTAAGGACCCATGATGAGATAAGGAGTTAGGCCAGATCATCAGTAAACACAATGTTAGATGCAGCTGACATTTTCTTCATTGTAAGACTTTCTTGATGAAGGAAGCCATATTGATTTACATTCTGGTGCAAGGTCCCTATGTTGCTGAGTAGCACTGGCTTAGATCATTTTGGCTTTATGATAAGTATTTAGACCAAATTAATTCCCCTTTCTTTAGGAGCAGAAAACTTCTGCAGGCTAAGCTCGGTAAATTTCCATTGTCCCAGAGTCATCCTGCATGGCAGTTACGAACCTTCTTGTCTTTCCCTAAGTCACAATGTGAGTTGTTCCTTAAGCTACCAGAGGCTCCTTCACTTTACACATGAAGACGCTAGGAAAAGGTTAAAAAACTCAAGTACCATCGGTGACCTAGGTCTCAGAAATGGAGAGCCTATTAAACCATGTTTGCTGATTCAGGAAGAGGATTACGCTGACAACTTTAAAAATAAGAATGTCTGTGTGTCCTGAGCCAGCAAATTGCTGTGGTCCCTATTTCAGGCTTTCTACTTAAATTAGAGCCAGGAGATCTTTTAACCAATTGTATTAGCTTTCTTTGAAATGTATGAAGTTTACCACTTATTCTTATTATTTTAATGTTTATAGATTCTATAATTAAATTTTTAAAATCTTAAAATATTATGCATTTGGAAAATTGGATCAGTTTTCAAAGTGTAAAAGAACTGAAATTACAACGAAGGAAAAAAAAGCAATTATACTCTAGAGGTCTTTTTTCTTTAAAATTATCCCAGGATTATTTTTGCCCATGAACAAGGTTAACATTTTCCAAAGAATCTCCATCTTGACATCATTTTTTTTTTCCTGAGGAAGATTTGCCCTGAGTTAACATCTGTGCCAATCTTCCTCTATTTTCTATGTAGGTCGCCACCACAGCATGGCCACCAACAAGTGGTGTAGGTCCACGCCCAGGAACCAAACCTGGGCTGCCCAAGTGGAGTGCACTGAACTTAACCACTAGGCCATGGGGCTGGCCCTAACTGACATCCTATTTTTAAAGGAGATTACTACACCAATTTAAATCTTCAAACTTGCGTACAAATTTTTAAGGGATATGTTCTAATTGCTCAACTAATTGAGTGGTACAGATCTTTCCTGCTTGATTCTTTTTTTTTTGGACAGAGAAATCATCTTATCCAAAATTACACATCAGTGAAATAAGGTTGTGAAGCTGATTCCTCCCTCTAGAATCATCCAGACTTGTCAAAAAGAATTTTCCTCACAACTTGGAAGCTATTTAAAGGGTCCCCCCTCACCGTCTTGACTCCAAACTGTGGGGCCACACAGTGTCTTGTTCTGAGATGGGGAGCTTCACCAGGACTAAGAGCGCTGGTGATGAGTTGGGGGAGAATTTTCTCCTTCTCGTGCAGACTGAGGAAGTATGCCCTTAATTTGACTCCTTACACCCACATAAATGTGGGATGGAGCCTGGGACCTCAGAATAGCCCCCCAGTTTAAACTTTGACAGTCTAGTTCCAGAAGAAGGTGGCCAAGCCCCTAAGACGCTTGGGGTCAAGGAGACTCTCACTGCTCTGAAAGACACAAACTATAGAAATCGAAGTGATGAAAAACCACTACCTTTTTCTTTGTATGATCTTCCTTTTTCAGGCAGCTTGGGGCGGGGGATTACTGATGTCCCGGAAACACAAGTGGAAACTGAGTGGCGTGGAGAGGTACACACATTTTTCTTGTTAACAACGTAAAGCATGAAAGCTAAATGTGAAAAGCAAATTACACCCAATTTCCAAGCATTGTTGGTATACAGGTGAGCCCATTCTGTGCAGTGCTTGTGCGCCTTGCCTTATGTGGTCATGAATGCGTGACTATTTTGTGTGAACAGCAAAAAGAAATCAAATTCCATATCAAGTGACCCAGGTGGAATGTCTCTCAAATGCAGAGATTCCTAACTGGGGTCCGTGGTTCACCACAGGACTCCGGAATGACATTCCGGGATCTCTGAACCAACTACCAAACTTGTTGAAAACTGCAGGCAGACCACAGATTTCTAGGGAGGAGATCTATAGCTTTTATGTTCCATAAAAGGGTAATATCCACTGCTTTAGAGAAACCAATAAATAATTTTGCAAAGCAAATCAGCACCTTATACTTTATCAGTGTTGAAAGTTTGAGTGTGGGATTTAATCTGGCCAGTCTACTTAAAGCAAGACATACTTGTGACAGGCTCATCTCATAGTTTCATACACATGATAAGTTTCTCCTGACATAGCTCTGACTGATGCTGCAAATCACCTTTTATTCAGAGACTAAGCAGTAGACCGTTGAGACAAGCTGCAAAACATAAAGGAGGTAATGTTTGATTAGCATAAAGCATATTCAGGTTCCAAGAAAAAAGAAAAAAAATTACAGAATGCAAAATCAGCCTTTGGTTCTGGACCATGTGCAAAGGGACCTAGAATTCCCAGTGCTCCCATCACAACATGGCAGGTCAACTATAGTTGTGAGCTCTTGACACTCCAGGCAACTGAGAAAGCCTGAATTCATCCGAGGCTGCCAAATGCCTGCCGTGCCCCGCCAAGTAGCCAGATGCTGCCCAGGAAAAGTTTCCCACTGGCTCTGCCCCTGGGCAGCTTGGCACAGTTTCTGTTACAGCACAAGCAGAGAGGCTGATGCAGCTTGAGAGTGTCTGTCAGCACTGGCCATGCAGGGCAGCCAGGCCAGAATGAATGCCCAGGGTGTGCTGGGTGATGCCCAGTCCATGCAAATGGAGAGAACCCATGGGCATAGAAAGAGGGGGTGGGGTCATTGAGGCAGAGCGGGGGCACCCTGCCTAATTAGTGGCAAGAAGGCTGAGAAGACTCAGGAAGACCAGCTAAGGCCCATGTCAGGCAGGTTGCTGTCTCTGAGTCTGCTGCCCAGGATCTGATGGCAGGGACCCATTTAGGTGTGAGTGCATGAGGACAGGCATGTCTCCCTCCTCAGAGCGAGCAGTCTAGGCCTCTGCTTCTGGTCCCGTGGGGCTCCTCTCAGGCTGAATTCCTTTTCGCCATAAAGATCTGTATGAAACCAGAAGCTTACGGAGGAGGCCAGGAATTAAACAAGGTGAGACAATAAAAAGAAGAGGACAATTTAGAATGTGCCTGCTCAGATGATCAGAACAAGAATTAAATTCACATGCTTTCAAGAGAGGGGCCTGAACATGGTACCTTCTCATCTTTGAGTTCCTTTCTGACCAGCACGGGAAGTGAGTGTCTGTTATTGTATCTTTCATGTCACCTGTGACTCCATGTGCTGAAAGCCATGGATCAGCCTGTCCCAATGATTACTTGACAACTCACTAAATTACCTCCCCTGTGTCTTGGAAAAATAAACACCCACATGCTTTTATACTAAAGACTATTATTTGAGAGCAATGCTCAGTACGTTCATCAGGGAACATGCAGTCCTCTCTAATCACTGCAATTCTTGAAACCATATTGTAACTAAATCTACCAAATGGGGCAGTCAAATATGAAGACCTACAAGTGAGGCACTGCTGGTGTTCTGCCTTCAGCAGAACCCCCTTAGCCACTCATTTGCCTGACGTATTAGCAAAAGGCACACTTTCTTTGGTGAATTATAGGGCCAGTGGAAACCCCTGGGCATAATGTGTGTGGGCACAAGTCTGGGAAAGAAATTTGCCTCCCGTGGGGGTATTACACTTTCCCAAGCCTTAGGATCTGTGGGGTTTTGAGGAGAGGAGTGATATTATCTCCCCTTCATTTTGGAAAGATAACTCTGGATTCCAGAGGAGATGGAAGCTGGGAACTAGAAGCTGCAGTGCAAATGTCGGGGTGCGGGGAGCGGTGGAGGGGAGAGAAGCTGAGGGGGGGACCACAGCAGCAGCAGCAGCAGAGGCAGGGAGGGAAGTGAGGGGACAAAGCCAGGAGGTGGGGAAGTAAACTGCAGGGGGTGAAATCAGGAGAGGGGAAGAAATTGAAACCAAAACAACAGTGAGGTTTGCGAGCTGGACGCATGAGAGGAAAATGGTACGGGGAACTGAGGCACAGAACAAAGGAGAAAGAACAGACCTGGAAGGATGAGGAGGGGGCAAGTTGAGTTCATTTGGCGTCTGCTGAGTGTGAGGTGCAAATAAAGGCGGGAGGATATCTTAAAACAGCCCTGGGGATTCAGTTCTAACCGAAAAATCACAGCAGCCACGTGACCGAATCCCATGGCAAAACACTTTGAAATGAACCTGAGGCCGTTTTTCACAAATAGCCAACATTTCTCAAATAAACTAAGGCCATGTCATTGAATCACTCTGCGCAGCTTTTTGCCGTCTTTATGCGGCAGCCCCTCTGAGAGGGAGGCAGGACAGAGAATTCAGTGATGGGTCGTTGGGGCCTTGGCAGCCTCCATTCTAGAAAGACAGATTGGCCACTGCATGGAAATAAACACCTCCAGTCAGAGAAAGAGAGAACAGCTGTTTTCTTCTCCATCAGTTGTCATTATTGACAAAGCTGAGTTTCATCAGGATCAGGCATATAGCTATAGAATATTATAGAATGTATAGAATGGTGATGCATACATGCCCAAGGTCACAAATCTCATAAATGACAGAGTTAAAATCACTAGGAAAGCCCACCTTATTTAATACCTACTATGAGTCAGACATAGTTGTAAACACTTTACTCAAACTATTTACTATTATTCTCCTTTTACAGACAATGAAATCTAGGCACAGAAAGGTTAGGTAACTTGCTCAAGGTTACACAGCTAGGGAGTGATAGGACCTGGATGCAAAGGCAGACTGTCTGGCTCCCAAGCTCCCCTCCTCTAACCACTATTACCTGCTGCTCGGTGCCCAGGTTTCTTGACTCCAGGGTCATTCTACAAAGCAAGGAGATATTTTCTTGGAAGGAGCATTTCAATATCACAGTTGTATTATTATTCACGAAGTTGTAAAGAGGTCATTGAGCCTTCTTTCCAGGGGTAGTAGCCATCTGGCCTTCAACTTTGCTTCTTTCCTCAATTCCAGTCCTGACGTGTCTGACTGACAATGTCAGAGCCAAAGAAAGACCAGAAGATGAGCTGGACTATTCACTGATTCAGATAAGATCCCCAGGCCAGTAAGTGCTCTCTGTCTGTCCAGCTGATGCCCGCCATGCATCAAATAGATGAATGGGCTCTTTCCCAGCTTCTCATTGCTTCCCGAGGTTCTCGCACCTTGAGTGCTGGGAGCAGGATGAGCTGAGGCTGTGGTGCAGCCAGAGCGAGGGCAGCAATCCCTGGAGCGATCCACAGCACCCTGCTGCTGGCTGCCAGGGATTGTCCTACTTCTCTGCCTTCTCCTCTGAGTCTGTTTATACCAAGGTCACATTCGTGATTCTCATCCTCAAGGATCCCTCAGTCTCAGAAGATGTGAGCAGAGACTCACCTTGCCTGATAAGCATGTGAAGTGAGCATGGGAACTCAGAGGGAGCAGTTGCTGTCCCAGGGAGTTGGAGGAGGAGGAGCCGGAGCAGTACAGCAGGAATGAGGGAGAGAAGTTGAATGAAGTCGAAGAAAGCTGTAGAGATAATACTTGATCTGGGCCTTAAAGAATGAGATTTAACCAAGTGAGGCAAAGGGAGACGACATTCCAGAAGAGGAAATAGCATTCAGAGAGCCAGGAACATCAGAATAGAATTTTCTGAGAACAAAAACTAATCTGGTGGGATGAAAATGGGTGCAGGAAATGGAAAGGACACAAGACCAGACACTTGACTGGGGATCTCCAGTGTGGGCATCAGGAGCCACGCCCTACAGCTTGGAGTTTAGCCAGGAGACAAAAGGAAGTCGTCAACAATTCGGGAGGAGGAAAGGGTCATAAACAGAGCTAGAAGATAACTGTGGTTCTCGGTGGAGGGTGAAATGGCAACCAAGAGTCAGTGAAGACACTATATCCAGATTAAAATAATAATTATTATTATTATTGTGAATAATGTGGCTATGAACATAGGGGTGCCTATATCTTTTGAATTATTGATTTCATGTTCTTTGGATAAATATTTAGTAGTGGGATAACTGGGTCATATGATAGTTCTATTTTTAATTTTTTGAGGAATCTCCATACTGTTTTCCATAGTGGCTGCACCAGCTTGCACTCCCACCAGGAGTGTATGAGGGTTCCCTTTTCTCCACATCCTCTCCAACACTTGTTATTTCTTGTCTTGTTAATTTAGCCATTCTGATGTGTCTGAAGTGATACCTCATTATCATTTTGACTTGCATTTCCCTAATAATTAGTGATGCTGAACAGCTTTTCCTGTGTCTCTTGGCCATCTGTATGTAGATCTTCTTTGGAAAAATATCTGTTTATGTCCTCTGCCCATTTTTTCGTCTGGTTGTTCATTGTGGTGTTGTTGAGTTGTATAAGTTCTTCGTATATTTTGGAAATTAACCACTTGTCAGATATACGATTTGCAAATATTTTCTCCCAGTTAGTTGGTTGTCTTTTCATTTTGTTGAGTTTCCTTTGCCTTGCAGAAGCTTTTTAGTCTGATGGAGTCCCATTTATTTATTTTTTCTTTTGCTTCTTTTACCTGAGTAGACATGGTATTCAAAAAGATACTGCTAAGACCAATGTCAAAGAGTGTACTGCCTGTATTTTCTTCTAGAAGTTTTATGGTTTCAGGTGTTACAGCAAGTTTGTAATCCATTTTGAAATTTTTGTATATGGTGTAAGATAATGGTCTACTTTCATTCTTTTTCACATGGCTGTTCAGTTTTCCCAACACCATTTCTTGAAGAGGCTTTCCTTTCTCCATTGTATGTTCTTGGCTCCTTTGTCAAAGATTAGCTGTCCAGAGATGTGTGGTTTTATTTCTGGGCTTTCAATTCTGTTGCATTGATCTGTGTGTCTGTTTCTGTGCCAGTACCATGCTGTTTTGGTTACTATAGCTTTGTAGTATATTTTGAAGTCAGGGATTGTGACGCCTCCAGTTTTATTCTTTTTTCTCAGGATTCCTTTGGCTATTTGGGGTCTTTTGTTGTTCCATACAATTTTAGGATTCTCTGTTCTATTTCTATGAAGAATGTCATTAGGATTTAGATTGGGATTTGTCTGATTGGGATTTGTGACAACATGGGAGGACCTTGAGGGTATTATGCTGAGTGAAGTAAGTGAGACAGAGAAAGACAAATACTGTATGATTTCACTTTTATGTGGAAGATCAATAAACACATAGATGAGGAGAATAGACTGGTGGTCACCAGAGAAGAAGGGGGTAAGGGGAGGGCAAAAGGGGAAAAAGGGGAACATATGTATGGTAACGGATAAAAACTGGACTGTTGGTCTTGAACACAATGCAGTCTATAAAGAAACTGAAATATCATGATGTACTTCTGAAATTTACACAATGTTGTGAGCCAACATGATCCCAATAAAATATTTTTTTAAATTATCATTATTATTACTAAAAGAATCTGAACCAGAACTCTGGTTCAGACTTTTCAGATAGCACAAATCCCTGAGCTGAGAATCACTAATACCGACGAGAGAGCATTATATTCCTCGAGTGAGTTGAGACAAAATAAGTTGAAAATTGCTGTAGGAGCCATTTTATCTCACCCATGGTCCAGAAAGATATCTGTGGTTTAGAGAAGAGATGAGAGCAGAGGACGAGCTAGAAGCTATTATGAAAGGACACATTTGAGAAACTTAGTGACTAGGAAGAAGTTGGGTCAGGAAAAGAGCAAAGTTAAGCAGTGGGATGAGCCACTTCTCTGAGCTCCAGACCACTACAGTAGTGCCAGGGCGTGCCTGGGGCTCTTCTCCTCAGTGGCCAAAGACAGGACCCTAGACTGGGTGACCTGGTCATTCGAAGGGGTCCTCAGACCCCCTTGGAGGCTGAAGGAATGCCTCTACTGGAGCCGGGGGCAGCATGTGGAGTCGCTAGCCCTCACTACTGTCTCTGTAGACAAAGAAAAACTTGTCAACTTAAGAGTCCCTTTCTTGTTTTGTAAATTGAGTGTCCTCCTGGCGTCTGAAAAGTAGTGCCAAGAAGCCTGAAGCTCTGTTGCCGGTGCTCAGGGCCTTAGTAGCATAAAGCCTGTCATGGGTGCCAGCCTCTTAACGTGATTCGTTTCCTTTAGGGCCAACTCTGTGACATGGAATCCACACAAGATGATGGGTGTCCCTTTGCAGTGCTCTGCTCTCCTGGTTAGAGAAGAGGTATGTCTTTCCTGATTGGTGGCTCAGTCCACCCGTGGGGTTCGATAGAGTAAATGTGTAGAGTCACAGTATCAGAATACAGGATGATTTTATAGGCTGGAACAGTGAGCCACCTCCAAAAAGGGGAAATTGTTCATGAGGATAAAGTAGGGTCCTGCTCTTATGTCCAAGTAGAGGATGGTGATATTTTGACTAGACAGGACAGGCATGTTTCACACATGGCTAAATTGTTGTATTTGTAAAAAAGACATAGAGCATTTCATTGTGCTCTATGGGGTCAACAAAGGGTCAAGAGAATATTACTGTTCAAAAACATCAATGAGGTAAAAGAAGTGCAGGTTCGGGGGTGGGAAAGGAAGTCCCTCACTGTTCTCTGGTTAAACCACACCCTGGAGTGGTTTCTGTAGGTTGGTGCCAAATCGTGTATGGGACCCCATCAGGCTAGAACTCAAACAGTGGGGAACAATTGGTAAACATGTAAGAGGGGTGCTTGAAAGAACTAAGGATGTTTAATCTAAGAAACAAAACAAGACTCACAGGGCTGAGAGGACAGCCCAACAGTTTAAATGACTCCCAAGTAGTGGAGATGCAATTTTTTCTTGAGGCTTCAGGGAACTGGGTTACAAACACTGGGCAGCAGATTTGATGGCAAAATCAGAACACACCATGATTTTAGGTCTGACTTGGGGTCAATAAAAGGAATGATTTTCTAAAAACTTAGCTGCCCAACGGGTAATGGATGCTTTATGTGGGAATAAATTCATCATCGGGGAGGTGACTGAATGGAGATTGGACGATCTCTTATTAATAAGAGGATAGGAAGGAATAGATTAATAGCTCTAGGGTCCCTTTCAAATCTAAGAGTTTGTGATGCTCTGATAGCATTTCCCTTATTGGGATCCAAGGAATAATGCCATTCTATAAGATTGTATTAAGTATTCTGCGATAAGAGAGTTCTGGGTTTAAAAAAAGCTTGGGACATATTCAATTAAAGAGTTAAAAACAAGTTTTATTACTTCACGGCATATCATCTTTAATTGCTGATATATATTGCAAATATCTAAAAAGAAGGTACTTACGACATAGAGTTTCCTAAGTTTATTTGGCCATGGGAATTTCTTTTACAGCAGCTATTTTTTTTAGTACAGCAACTATTAATATATTTTAAATAGTGTGGGACATAATGGTGTATAATTTTGTAATGGTTCACAACCAGGATATTATCTAACCAAGGCTCTTTTTGTGAAAAACAGCATCACTTTTACTTATCCTTTTGTATAATGAGACTGGTGCTGACCAACCTTTTAGTGGTCGTGTGCTTCGAATTGCTTTTCCTATCCCATTGGAAGCTGATCCGATCTATCCACCATTCCACACTCTCTGGGCTGTTCTGCCTTAGGATTCATGGTACCACTTTTTGAGCTTACATGACCAGGGGAAGAATGATGCCAAGTTTCTGTGACCATGAAACAAAATAGAAACATTTGTTGCAATTTTCAGTCTTATTGGTCTTCAAGTGAATTTTCTTTTTCAAATTCAATGGCTTTCTACTGCTCTATTACAATTACATTGTATTTAATTTCTCTTAGTCTCAAAAAAATAATTTAATGAATTCCACTGAACAGGAAGCCTGAACTATCAGGTTAAGCCCAGTTCTGTTGTCTACTATCTGGGCACTTGGTCTTTCAAGACCTAGTTAAAATTTTAGTTGCATTGCGTTTTGTTTTAGTTTGGGTGGTTTTTTAAAAGGGTTCTCACTTCTACCTTCAAATAATTGATCACATTTTAGTCTTTTCTTCTCTTGTCATGAGTCACAAAAGAAAAAAAAATGCCAAAGCTTCTGTAAAATCACAATTATACTGTAGATAATGGAAGAGTCAGTGGCTTCCTGTGGTGCATGACAAATTGAAACGTGGCGGGGTTTCTGGTGAGGAGACTGGCAACGCTGCCTTAGTCAGAGAGCATGATTCATTCAATGTCCTTTGGAATAGTTCAGTCACTCTGCCACCTGTTTTCCATAGGAAGCTTATGCTGCTAGGGAAAATTCACGGTCATTGATGATGAAGCTTTCCATTGTAGCCATCATAAGCAGCTGAGTATGAAAACACAGTACTGAAGCTGTAACCACTCTTGAGAGAGGGTCATGACATTTGAAAGACTGGTTATTTAAGACATCTCAGAGTAGCAATGTCTTTATCTTTCTAGATTTCAGCATCTAAAACTGATAACAATGAGCTGTGTTAATAATTATGATTTCCAAAGGAAACTCAAACCGAAACAGCTAAATGATAAAGTACTTTATGAATGAAAGACTAGAAAAATGGCACTAATAATATTTTACAGAACCAAAGAGTTTCCAAAATAGTTTAATTGCAGGAAGACCAGAACATCAGGATGTTCTCTGAAAAAAAGAACATTATACTCTGATTTTGATTTTTTTTTTTTTTTTTTTTTTGAATGCCTTCTCTGGTTAACCTCTGGTAACCTTTGGCCCTGAGCCATTAATCCCACAGAGTTGACCTTTTGCAATAGTTCATCCTGTCCAGATACTGGTCCTATTATTTTTTCATTTGATTCTTGCTGATTTCTTTCTCCAGAATATTCAATGTCGCTTTCTTTGTTTCTTTTCTTAATAAATTCCACCACAGTGTAAATCTAATAGAATCCCCGATGAAGTCAGTAGAATTTCCTAAGTCTTTCTTCTCTTCTAGGGATTGATGCAGAGTTGCAACCAGATGCATGCCTCCTACCTCTTTCAGCAAGATAAACACTATGACCTGTCCTATGACACTGGAGACAAGGCCTTGCAGTGCGGACGCCACGTGGATGTTTTTAAGTTATGGCTCATGTGGAGGGCAAAGGTGAGCATGTGTAGATCCATTCAGTGTCACCTAAAAACAGAAATTACATCTGGCAACCCTTAGTATACTTGTTAAAAATGGATTTCCAAATTGAAAATTACCCAAGATTAGCTTACTTTAATCCTATACCTACATATCTGCATTCTACATGGGCAAGAATATAATAAAACTCATTGTATTTTTTTCTTTTAAGCCAAATTGCTCCTAATGCTCACTCATCTAGAGAACAAATACTTGTTGCTTCATACAGCAGAACACTTGGATTCTTCAGAGGTGTTTTGTTGTTGATTTTGTCTCCCAACTTGGTTTCTACCAATCATTGATCACTTGGGTAGAGTAACATAATGTAAAAGCACATGTTTGGAGAACAAAAGGGAAAAGAGAAAAAACTCATCACGATAGCTTGACATTTCAAAGGGTAACCTCTAGTTAAAACGCTTTTTAAAAAGTTCCCAAAGGGGCTGGCCCCGTTGCTGAGTGGTTAAGTTCGCGCGCTCCGCTGCAGGCGGCCCAGTGTTTCGTTGGTTCGAATCCTGGGCGCGGACATGGCACTGCTCATCAAACCACGCTGAGGCAGCGTCCCACATGCCACAACTAGAAGAACCCACAACGAAGAATACACAACTATGTACTGGGGGGCTTTGGGGAGAAAAAGGAAAAAATAAAAAAAAAAATCTTTAAAAAAAAATTAAAAAAAAAAAAAAAAAAGTTCCCAAACTACCTAGTGACTACCTTTTGTATGGTTTCTCTGGTTACATCAGAATTTAACTATTGGTGATCACCCTTCTCTCAGAAATAGAAACTCTGTAACTGATGGTGTACAGAACCAGTGGGACCTAACTGTGGCCTTCAAACAGCATATGTGTATGTTTAAATGTAAGCAGGCTGGAAAAGTCAAAGATTTTGTTTTTAATTTTGACCAGATTCCTAACTTAAATGTCACAAATTAGTGACTTCTCACCTGGTTTCATTTATCTGCCACAGGAGACAATGGCCAGAGCCAGCTGGACATGCTAGAGAAACTCAGCTGCTAAAAGTGTATGTGAGGGAAGCTGGATAAAGGAAAAGGAGGAAGGGAGAGGTTAGAGGGAAGCTGGCCTGCGCCGAGGTCCTGTGTGTTTGGGAGAAGAGCCACAAATTTGGCTGTAAACTTTTGAAGTAGCCTGCATGAAGACGTGACAGGTTCAATCCCATAGGAACAAGTAAATAACTCAGTGACCAGAAGTGAGACATGCCAGGATAAGACCAGAGAATGGGTTCTTCCTCATGTCTATGTCAAGACATAAGAACCATGTCCACAGTAATGAGTTCCATATGCTGTTGTTTATAAGATTTTTCAAAGTAAATTGAATTGCCTTAAGCAGCCTAGAGTAGGGGATGGCTAATAAGAAAAAGAGGGGGCTTGGGAGTGAAACGAGGCAGTCAACAACTATTTTATGGAATCATCTTTAAATTCATGCTGGAAAAAGGCAGTTTAAATAGAAAGATGGTCTTGCTTAATGAAGAAATAACTCTGAGTTGGTCTCCAGGAATGGCTGGACTGCATATTCTTTAGGCAAGCCTCCAGAATGGTACTTGCCCTAGCTGAATTTTCTCTAAGTGTTGCTAAGTATCGGGCAGCTACCTGGCATTAGGCCCCAGGGAAGGCATTGCCCCATAAAGTTGGTATGATGATGGGGGGCTGGCCCGGTGGTGCAGTGGTTAAATTCTCACATTCCGCTTCGGCAGCCCGGGGTTCTCTGGTTCAGATCCCGGGTGCGGACGTGGCATCACTTGGTAAGCCATACTGTGGTAGGCGTCCCATGTATAAAGTGGAGGAAGATGGGCACGGATGTTAGCTCAGGGCTAGTCTTTCTCAAAAATAAATTTTTTTAAAAAAGTGATATGATGGATGAGCTCTGATCCCTTGAGCTGGGCGGGGGACCCTTTTCTCTTTTGAAAGTTGAGAGCCTTTCCTAGTCTTCATCACCCAAGATAGGAGTCATTCTGAGAGAAGTGACACTTTCATTTGGCAAAAATAATTCAATCAAGAATATGAATTACTAGTTTACTCTCAAGCTGTTTTAAAATGAGTAGGTTTTTCATTTCATTGATTGGTGGGAATTACAAAAAATATCAGCTAGTAAGCTGAGGAAAGCTTGATCTCTAAATATTGTTCAGTATCATTCTTTTTGTCTCTTTTTCCTGTGGTGTGTTTATTAAGATGATGCTCTTTAGCTATATTTACATGAAAATGTTTCTCTCATGGTTCATCAGTTCCTGCTGCTCCTTTTCCATCTGAAGCCTCCTGGCCAGCATGGTGCAGCCGGCTGGTTCTTAGAGAAATAACTTGGAGGACATCAGGGTGTGAATTAAACGGCAGGACAAAATGAAGCCTGAAATAAAGGCAAAGGCTCCAGTTTTTAAAATGCTGATATAAAGGCACCAGGAGAGGGAATAAAAAGAGAAGAAAAATAGTCACAGCCGCTGCATGACTTATTGACATATATTGTTTTAATTCTTTATTGCAAAACCTTAAGTATCTAGACATGTAAATGAAAAACTTCCATTGGGTTTTCATCTTACAGCTATGGTTTTTGCAAAATGGAATGATAATAATTACTAAAGTAATAAGCTAGTCCTACAAGCCTCATCAGAGGTGAGGATACATATCCTCTCACCTCAGAAGCTCTTTACCAATGCCAGCCAGGGAAGGAAGTTATCCTCCCCCAGGAACCTTAAAAGAGTTGGCCATGACATTCTATTTTTCCTCTCCTCAGGAATGAGGAAACAACCTGAAAACACAATGCTGAGGCGGAGGAAGAGGAGCATACTGTTATTTCAGTAAACCCTCTGTTGCTAGATAGGCCTGGAGAATGCAATGTTCAAGAGAATCCACATTTTCTCCTTAGTAAGATAAACCACATGGAAAATAGTAACCTAAGTATGAATTAGTATTCTCTAATCTGTTAATGACTAATGGAGCTAAATGCACAGATGAGAGCCATAATATTAGGTCCAACATAACTTGAGGAGAGCAAATGTATGCAAAAACAAAGAGCCCCCTGATGTAAGCCTGTCATCAGCAAAGACAGCATGCCTGCCCTCAGTTCTGTTCTTATGGAGTAGACCTTTCATTTTGTCTGCATTTTGTTAGAGAATTCTAGGACTTGATGATTATTTTCCATCTTGACACATTTCCTCAGTGGGAAAAACTCGGTGGTAGACAGAAAAAGGAAACTTAAAATTAGTCCCCTGTTTTTAGTCTTGTAAGGATGGCTTAATGTGTAACTACTGAGTTCTTGCAGTAAATCTCTTAGTTTGTATATCATTATACAAATTGGCAGGTTTCCTTGTGATTTTCTGTGATTGGCTTCCCTAATTAAAAATGTAGATAACAGAGGGACTGGCAAATGACTGAAGAAAAAACAAATAACAGGAGAAAACTATTAAAGGGAAATTGATGTCTGGTACCCTGTGCTGAGTGACTGAATGTTTACATTCTCCCTAAAATGTGAATGCATTTTAATAAGTAGGGAGTGAGCAAAGTATCTGTTACTGTCCCTGGTGCTGAATGGAATAAGAGGGGGCTACAAATTTCCAGACAGAATAAGATAAATGCACAGATAACCATCACGTGAGACAGAATATAACTGGTCATAAAAGAAACACAGAAACACCTTGAGAATTTAAAGGAGGGAGAACTCATTCCTAGTTTGAGACTCAAGAGTGACTTATCAATAGCTGGCCTTCGAGATGGGTCTTGAACAGGATGGGTAGAATGAATAGGATTTCAAGCTGCAGCACTGGGAGAAGGACATTCCAGGAAGAAGGACTAAGAGCAGGGGCTGACATGCATATTCTGAGTCTAATGAAGAGTCCAAATTGACGGAAGGGTAGTTAAGGAGCTCTCGTCCAGATGAAAAGTAAGAGAGCCTAACTCACGTGGCAGCAATAAAAATGGAGATAGCAGCAAAGGGTTCAGTCACTATTTCAGAAGCAGCATCAGTGGGCCTGAGAGCATTCAGTGAGGGTTGTTAGAAGCAGAGAAGACTCATGAGCAGCACTCCAGATGTCAGGCCCTGGGATGACACAGAGGCAGTAGCCAGACGCTGGAAGACAGTGAGACTGAGGAAGAAGATAACGCAAACCATGTTCATCTTCCTGAAATTCTGATTTAGGAGTCTGGGGTGGGGCCTGAGAATCTATATTTTTAGCACAATTAATCTGGTTCTGATACAGATGGTTTGTTCCTCAGAACATACTTTGTAAAAACACTTCCCCCAGGATTAAAAGTTATACTTTCAGTCCTTCATCCATTCCTTCAACAAATATATATTGAGCGCCTAACCTGTGCCCAGCACTGCTTGTATGAGCAATACAATAGCAAACAAAAAAAACCACTAATCTGTGCCCTGTGGAGTATATGTTTCAACCAGGTCAGTCTAAGTCGATCTTAAGTGTGTGTGTGATGAGGGAGAAAATAAAACCATCTTTCCTCAGAAGCTCCCTCATTATAACCTGATGCTGGGGTCCAGCCTTTCCCTCAGGAGTGCACGTCGGAGCCTCAGCTTCCTCCACGGCGACGCAGGTCATGGTGATGCGATGCCTGATAAAGTTTTACACATGCCTTTGTCATTCTCATGATAAAAACTGTGTGGCATATGATAGCTACTAAACAAGTATTTGATGAATGAATTAATTTTGGAGAATCTCCTCAAAGCCTTCAAAATCTTAAAAATAAATAAAACATGGGTCTTATTCCCATAAATATCTGACATGAAACGCGGGGCCCCGGGCTTCCAAGAGCATCCGAGATTCCTATGGCACTCCCCTTGTACCTCGTTAGCCTTCAACAAAGGGGTGGTCGGGTTACTCCTGATCATCTCCAGAGTGTCGTTCTAGACCAGTTAAGGCCAGAGAACTCCCATCCCAGTCTGTGGTAATCCCATTCCCTTTGTAATACAATCAAACGCATTTTCAGAGCATTCATTTTACCTTATATGTCTCTGTATGGGAAACCAGACAGGCACCATCATTCCCATGTGACCAGAGAGATTAGCCAAGGCCATCAGCTGGACAGGATCAGAGTCATACCGGTCCCGGTCATATCCTAGATTAGGTACACGTAAGTTTAAATCCAACTCTAGACTGGTCCAAAGGACCCAGTTTGGAGAACAGTTCACTTCCTTCCCTCACCTAGGGCCCATCCCAAGTAGATCCAAACTGCCAGGTCAGTCCAAACCAATCCTAAATCCTTAGCACCCACAGACTCATAGAGCACATGGCGTAGGCACTGGCCTGAGCATTCAGGCATCAGCCCAGGCCCTTTCTGGGGGTAATCAGGAACCAGTCAGCCTCCTTGAACCTATCGGCTAGGGTGCCAACCCCCAAGATGAATTTTGGAACCCATCAGATTTCTTTAATGCTTCAGATGCTGAAAGTCACTGGCTATGCTGCATCCCCCTTTTAGCTAAGATGATGAGACTATCTAAACAGGAAAGTGGACCCATTTTATCTCCACTACAATTGTTCCCTCCAGTTTCCATGTTGGCTTAGTCACTGGTAGACCAGATCTAAGTGCTCCTGAGATGAGCATTAGCTGTTTTTCTAAGCTTTCCATTAGCACTCCATAAACACTAAAGGAGTTAAGAGGAAAACCATTTTGAAAAGTAATTCCCTAGAGTGTCCTGAGGTCAGTTAAACAGCTCCAGTCCAAGGCTGTTGGGTTGTTTTACACAAGTCCAGATCCCGGGCTTCCAGTGCTGGAAATTGAAAGACCTCTGTGACAGTGTTCACCCATTACAGACATATGAGTCACTTATTCCCAAAGGAGAAATCTAATGAGCTTTGCAGAATGACAGGCTAACCAAGCATCTGTGTGCCGCCTAAGATTCATGCATTCATTTGTTGAACAAATATTCATTGGGCACCCACCCTATTTGTTCTGTAATGGGGGTACACTGCTGAACAAAAGTGGAGTCTGGAAATGGCAAATTACATGATGGGCAGGGGCTAAGCAGGCATCCTGGAGTGGGGCGGGGGGGGGTGGTCTCTGATGATGCTTCTTATCCGCAGGAAGAGAATATCCCAGCCCTCCTGTCATTAATGACTTCCATAATTAGTCCTCTGAAGGGCAGAGGCAAATTTTCCCCTCGAGTAATCAAAATAATTGCCTGGGGAATGGAGGCTCAGAAGAATTGGCGGTGGAGAGCAGTAATGACAGACGTGAAAGGGAGCAAAAGTACCTGAGGGGGAGAGCATTAAAGGAGAAATAATGGCCAGAAAAGCCTTAGAAACACAGTCTTGTGTAAGGAAAGTGCCGGAGCAGAGCTGAGAGAGAAGTAGCAGAAAGACCGTCAGTCTTGAGGGACCACTTCCTCCCGCATCTCAGCCTGAGAGCTCACCCACCCATCTCAGCCTGCCTGATAAGCTTTCCTCTTCTCTTACTTAGGGAACAACTGGGTTTGAAGCACATATTGATAAGTGTTTGGAGTTGGCGGAGTATTTATACAATATCATAAAAAACCGAGAAGGATATGAAATGGTGTTTGACGGAAAGGTATGTATTCTGATTTCTACCATCCCAAAACGTTTAGTCTATTCCAATTCTTACCACTGATATTTTTGATGTCAATAATGTACTGTCCAAGTAAGTGGGGCCATTACAAGGGAGAAGCAGGAATGATGGGGTAGCTATTCTGAGCTGGAGTAAAAGTCAGACTCACAAAAAAATAACTATATAATATTGTGAAAGTCAGGCACTCCAAAGATGATTGTGGATTCAAAAGTAGGAATTGTATTTGGAAGCTGCAGAATAAATAGACTTGAAATTGTCCTTGGAATTTTCAAAATTGCCTGAGTATGAATGTCACTTTCCTGTTTGTAGCCTCAGCACACCAATGTCTGCTTCTGGTATGTACCTCCGAGTCTGCGTGTTCTAGAAGACAATGAAGAGAGAATGAGCCGCCTCTCAAAGGTAAGTGACACAAGCGCATCTGATATGTGTGTTGGTGTGACATTGAGCTTTTCACATGCGTGTACATATGCCTTTAAGAGAAATCCAGCCTTGACCTCGGTGCATGAGCTCACCCCCCTCTCTGGGCTCCTGCAGAGCCAGGACATTCAGAGCTGGTGCATCCAGACTTTTAACAACTCTATTTGCTTCCATTTTCTGAGAGGGAGCTTATGATGTCTTAAAATAAGTAATTAGGTGCTACCTTTACTGGCATGCACAAACCAGCAAGAACCCTTGCTGAAGTTGACTGACCTGCCAGGCAAAACGGGTACAAGCACTGAAGAGACTTCAGGCACCAGAAATGGTTAGAAAACAAAGCTGCTGCTGACCCTTTTGAGATGCCAAGGTCAAGGCTATCCTGTGGGGTCTTTAGAGCTGTGACGTCCAGAAGGTAATGGGCAGAGAGCAATAATAATAACGGCCATGTTTAGAGTGTGTATTTTGTCCCAGGCTCAACTTTGATCTAGCGTTAGATCACTTAACTGTCATACGTGCTAAAAATGACTAAAGAAGACAATTTAGGTAACACAAATAAACTTTATTTAACATTTCATTAAGCAGGCAGTCTCCGTTCCCAAGGGTCCAGAGAACTGCAAAATGGGGCAGAGGGCAGGAAGCTTTTATACGATAAAGAATAAAAAGGAAGGAGGAGAAGGATAGAAAATGAATAAGGAACAAGAAAATAAGTAGAGAGCCCAGAGCTGGCTTGGTGTTTGGGGATTGGCTCGCTGGATTTACTGTTTCTGGTCAAGTCGAGCATTTACAGGGACATGAAAGTCAGCTAAGTTTCGGTTTGCTGACGTGGCGCCCCAGCAGGAGGGGCTCCATCTTGGGCTAAAAATTTATTTCAACATAAGCAACCTAAAGTGGGAAGCACTGTTGTCACCCTTGTTTTGCTGATGGGGAAACTGAAGAACAGGGAGAAAAAGTCACCTTCCCCAAATCAGTGACTCCAGAGCGTAGGGCTTGAGCTTCAAATTCTCCTGTGCCCAGAAGACACCTTTGTCTTTTATCCTCTCCTGTGCCCAACATTTACACACAGGTGAAATTTGGTTTACGATGTACACCAAGGAGAGTCTTAAAGGTAAACGCAGGGCCCATCTCCCACAGTGTTGGAGGAGTGGGATTCCAGGGGTAATCATGTGTATTTGGATTTCAGAGGGTTGATTGGTGGGTTTTCTGTTTTCCGGCCGGTCACTGCCTGGAGTGGGAGAGGCTCTCTCCACCACTGCTAAGCAGCCTGGGCTGCCTCATTGACCTTCCAGAACACTTTATTTCCTTCTATGGAAAATGGAGAACAGGATTTTTTTTTTTTTTGGTGAGGAGCTAATATCTGTGGCAATCTTCCTCTGTTTGTGTACGTGGGACATCACCACAGTATGGCTTGACCAGCAGTGTGTAGGTCTGCACCCGGGATCTGAACCTGCAAACCCTGGACTGCCAAAGCAGAGTACACAAACTTAACCACTACACCCCTGGGTCAGCCCCTGAAGAATGGGATTTTGTGTGGTTTTAAAACTTCCAGAAAATCTTATAAATGTTAACACCAGCCCTTAACCAGGATCAAACTTACACATAATTGAGGTCTTTAAATCAAGCTTCCTAATTAGGGTAATGGTTTGCAACCCTGGCTACACACTAGAATCATCCTAAAGCTTTGTAAAAAATACTGGTAACCAGGTCTCACCCTGAGAATTTGATCCAATTGATTTTGGATGGGTTGGGAATAGTTCTAAAAGTTTCCCAGGTGATTCGAATGTGCAGCCCAGGTCAAGAGCCACTGACCTAGAGGAACAAATGGAAGGAAGCTTCTAGAACAGGGATCCATGGGTGCATGTGTCTGGGGTGGAAGGAATCAGGGTCATGTCTGGAGCTTTAGTGAAGTTAGTTAATCCTAGGAAATCAGCCCAATAGGCAGGAGGGAGTGAGGGTGGTGGTCACATTGAAGGTGATAGGTGCAAGCATAAAAAGGATCCACTGTCATTTGAGAGGAAAGAATTCATATTTTTTTTCTGGAAGTTTTGGGGCAGCTTTTCTAGAGTGTATATTATCTGAACAAACTCATTTTTTTTTTCTGCTTTATTTCCCAAACCCCCCCGGTACATAGTTGTATATCCTAGTTGCAGGTCCCTCTAGTTGTGGATGTGGGACGCCGCCTCAACGTGGCCTGATGAGCGGTGCCATGTCCGCGCCCAGGATCCAAACCCTGGGCCGCTGCAGTGGAGCACGTGAACTTAACCACTCGGCCACGGAGCTGGCCCCTGAACAAACTCATTTTATTTAACAAATTAGTTAGAAATGAGATATTTCCATTCTTATTGGCTTGAAAGTGAACTTCTTTAATGAATCTACTGACCAGACAGAGAATCCACAGAGTGGTTTGGCTGACTTCATTGGTTGAATCAATTCATTATTGCTGGGCTGAGGGAGGGGCAGGGTGGGAGTACAGAACAGAAAGGTTTTTTGCATCATTTTCTGAGCAGAAGTCAACTCTGAAGTTCTCCCGTTTAAATAGAACTCTCTTCAAGTGCCTCTTAGATTTTAGCACATCTCATAAGCTGTGATGGGCATGGTGATTATTTCCTGGGAACAGCAATTAGAGTATTAGTAAACTGTTTTTATGATGTTGGTAATTCAAATTGAAAATCTCTAGGAATTGCAAAATGAGTTCTCCTAATTGTTCCCTCTCCTGTGACTCCATTTTCATTACTGTAGTAGAGAGAATTCAGCAATTCAGAATTGGAAATGAAAACAGAACACAGAAAATATCAAGGTTAACTTTTGTTCATTTATGTCAATAATTTTTCAGAGTTTCAGAAAAGTTTCTTATTAAGTGTGAAACCCTTAAAGTATAATGTACAGAGACCAGTAAAATCTTCACACACACACGCATGCAATCCCAGAGGGAAAAAGGCTGTGGTAAAATAAGTTATCTGCACTGTCCAATATGACAGAGTGGCCACATGTGGCTATTTCAATTTGAATCAATTGAAATTAAATTCAACCAAATATTCACTTCTTTATCACACTAGCCACATTTCAAGTGCTCATCATGTGACTAGTGGCTATTGTGTCAGATAATACAGATATAGAACATCTCCATCATTACATAAAGTTTTCTGGGTCAGTGCTGATACAGACTACAAATGGGGAGAAATGTGGAGTCTTCTGGGTAGTATGTGGCAAACAAGAGAATTAAGTTAAATTCTGGACCCAACAATGCAGTGGAATTATTCTTTGTGTCCTCTTGCCTGGTACATGGCTTAGCATACAATAGGCACTCAAAAATGTTTGTTGAGTCCAAGGGCCATTTGCAGATTCCAGAATAGGGAAGGGAAACAACACCTAGGAAACCTACTAGTGGATGAAAGGCCTTTCCCCAGTGCACAGGCTGGCTCGGGGACAGATAATTACATTAACAAATGGTTGTTACTAAAACAAGCACAGCCACAGCTTCACAAGGAGGTAAAGAGGAGAATCTGGTTGGTGCATTTCCTGCTGCTCAGTCAGGACTGTGAGTGTGCTGGTGGCCCATTGTCACTGAAGCAAAGTGGATACGGAAGGCCTGGGTGCTGTGGTGACATGGCCACATGCCTTAGTCACAGAGCTGGTAAGCTCCAGGCAGGCATTTATCAGACAATTTACCCACAGGCAGGTATATTGGTCATCTCTGTGTTTCTGCTACTCTTCTTCATCATTATCTTCTTGTATTTTAATTTTCATTGTATTTTATCATTATCTGCATCTCTTCCATTAGGTTTTATAGTCCTATATGACTTTTGAAAGGTTAACAATGAATTTAAAAGGAAATTGGTAAGGAAGTAGTTTGGCCTCATACGTAAGGTGACTCTTTTAAAGTCAATATTATTAAATGTAATGGAGAATTTAAGTAGTGAGATTGTAACCTTCTAGAATGTCTTACTTATGCTTCTTCCTCTTTTTCATTTTTCAAACTTTCACTCAGGCTTCCAAGATTTAAAAACAAAAAGGTTTGTAATACATAGTAAAAAATACATTTCTGTGATTATTTCATGATGCTTTAATCTGAGCTCTCTTTGCGATTGAAACAAATGTGGATTCAAATTATGGAGCAGCTTCCTAGTTATTGTTTTCTAAAAGATTGAAAAAGTTAATGACACCAGGGAGAAAATGATACCCTAAATCTCTCAAGGCAGCCCCCAAAGAGCTCTTGTCAATTAGGTCTTTCATGAATTCTTCAATATGCAGCCCCTCTCTTTCCCAACTGACTTTCTTTATTCAGCAAAACCAAAAATGTGACCAAAAGACAGTCTAGAAATGTGAACATGCTATATATTTGTTAGAACAGTCAGAAGCTTATTCTCCTTCTTAACTTCCGGTTAGTGATTATGCAATGAAGTAGATATTCCGTGTTCTTGCTAATTTTAGTTCCCCAGCATTTTCCGGAAGCAACCAAAAAGTCATATGTATTTAGACAGCTGTGATTTCTACCAATCCAGCTAGCTTCAGGAACCGCAGGATTCATCTTACTTTATGCCAAAATCTGTTTGGGATGATGGCTGTTACCATTAATCCTTTGACCTTTGATTTCCATTTATCTGGAAAGTTAGAGGTGATTGTCCTGAATAATTAATGCCATTCCTATGTGATTTGTGCTTGGATTGCCTATGAAAACGAAATCAGAATTTTAATTCACTGAGTAAACCATTGCCGTTGTTTTGTCAGTCCTAAAGAACAAGCATTTATTACTGCACAAATAAAACTAAGGAATAGCTATATGATCTCCCTTAAATTTCTGCAGACACGTGGATTTGGAATTCCTTTTCTAATTTGGGATTTCTTTTCCCACGAACACATTGACTTGCCATGCCTCACAGCGCAAAGTAATAAATTTTGTGTCTTTAGGCTAAAATATTCTAGTAGATCCTTTTTTTTGTTTTTTTGAGGAAGATTAGCCCTGAGCTAACATCCACCACCAGTCCCCCTCTTTTTCCTGAGGAAGACTGGCCCTGAGCTAACATCTGTGCCCATCTTCCTCTACTTTATATGTGGGATGCCTGCCACAGCATGGATTGATAACTGGTGCATAGGTCCGCACCTGGGATCCAAACTGGTGAACCCTGAGCCACTGAAGTGGAGTGTGCAAACTTAACCACTACACCACCAGGCCAGCTCCCTAGTAGAGCCATTTTTAAAAGTTAATCCCGGACTTGGGATATTTAAATTCTTTTTTATATTTATTCCCTGGGATGAGCCCGATGCTCTGTTACATCCTTAATCCTTTAGGGGAAAGAGCAATCCACCCAACAGAAACATTCCTCATCACTTTCTCTCCCTGTAGAATATGGAAGGGGCAGGAAGGGACTTAAGAACTTGTTAATCTAGAATCAGAAAATCTCGGTGCTGGAATCACGATATACGTTCATTTTGAGGTGGGGAAATTGGGTTCAGGCTGTGAAGTGAAGGTGAAGGTGAAGCCCGTCTTTGGCTTTGTCCTCGGTGACTAACAAATAACTGGGCCTGATGGGAACTGTGTGGACGTTGAGCGCAGAGTACTTTAAATATGAAAACCTCATTGTAAACCAATGATTATTTTAAGTGTTGATATTCAGAAGTCACATGTTCATAACAGCATTCCATTTGAATCTAACTGTCCTTCACTTAAGATGAATCCAACTGTGATATAAAGCATGGTCCCCCTTTTGAACTGAGTTGCTTGCTATGTATATCTAAATAAGTCGAAAGCTTCCCTGATGTCTGCTATTCCTACCATATCTGCAGCATGAACTTAAAAGATCAGATGTTATATTTACAAACTCCAGTGGTAGAATATGTGGACAGATCGTACATGCGCTTAAACATCACTTAAATGGAAGCTGCTTCTTAGATGGCTGTTCCTACTATGCTGCTCTTTATTGTCAGCAAGGACTCAGGGAGCCCTCCGTGTGCATCCAGTGCTGTGTTGGTAAACCACAGAGGTAAAAGACACTGTGCCTGCCCTCCACGAGCTTACAGTTGATGTACGGAGATAAAATGTCTTTTCTCATAAGAAGACAACAGGAAATTACAATATAGTTAGAATCTATGGATCAGGATCAAGGATTTATGACTTAAAAGAGAAAAGATGCTAATGGACTAAAGAAATCAGGAAAGTCTTCATAGTGGTTATAGGACTGTGGTGGAGCCTTGGTGTGTCTATAGGATGTGAACCGGAAAAGAAAATGGATTCTAAATAAAGAGAAGAAGTGTGACATGGTAAGACCGAGGACAAGTGTGAAGGGATAAAAATACGTGTGGTACATTCAAGGCATATTGAATAAATAGGTCTTGTCAGAGTTGAAGATTTATTTTGGTGAGCAGTGGAAGATGAGTCCTCAGAACTGGGTGACAAAAGGCATTTGTGCTGAGAGAAAGAGTTTGAATTTAATTTCATACACAATAGAGAACTACTGATGTTGTAATCATCAGTCTGGCATAAATACGGTAAAATCTTGCCTGTGATCCACTTCCGTAATGTTAACTCCTTGTGGGTTCAACTTTTTGCCTCAGCTGATTCTTCTTCATTATTAAGGAATATATTTCAAAATATCTGATAAACCAAGGTAATGCAAAAGGAGAATGAAAAGAAACTAGAAAGCTTTAGGGTCTCAAAAGCCTGCTTATTTTCATACATCACTTGACATTGAGGCTAACCTCTTGGTAACCATTCTCTGAACTGTGTCTTATTTCCAATGTTTTTACATTTACTAAGAAGAAAAAAAAAAAACCTCCCTCAAATTTTGTATTGCTAAACTATTTAGCCTTGGAATCAACACAAGATTCTTCCCATTCTCCCAAAACACTACCTGGAAAGTCAAGGATAAGGTGGCAAACACTGCTAGCCTATCATTTCTTATTCCTCTTGTCACCTTCAAGATCTTGGATGTATTGAAGTGTCTTTCTGATCCCAAGAAAGCTTGGAAACAGTTCCTTCAAGGGAAACAAATAGGAGTCTGACTGTTTAGTTAAAAACTAAAAATGCTACTGGATATTGGGTTCTTTGACTAAGGGAAGAGTTGTGGGGGAAAGAGTCACTGTGTTGATCTGATCTCTCCCACAGGTGGCCCCGGTGATTAAAGCCAGAATGATGGAGTATGGGACCACAATGGTCAGCTACCAGCCCTTGGGAGACAAGGTCAATTTCTTCCGCATGGTCATCTCAAATCCCGCAGCAACTCACCAAGACATTGACTTCCTGATTGAAGAAATAGAACGCCTTGGACAAGATTTATAATAACCTAGCTCACTAAGTTGCTTCAATTCTCTAAGTAGACAATTAAGTTGTCACAAACTGTGTGAATGTATTTGTAGTTTGTTCCAAAGTAAATCTATTTCTATATTGTGGTGTCAAAGTAGGAGATAGTTTAAAAATCAGAAAAACATTGCTCCTTTTAAAGATCCTTTCTTAAGTTTAGAATACCTCTCTAATAATTAGTGACAAAAGGCTGTGTTCTAATCAGTAAGGAAAAGCTTAAATTGTTATAAATACTTCCCTTACTTTTAATATAGTGTGCAAATCAAACTTTATTTTCACTTCAGAATAGTAGGATTGAATAGTGCCAAATTGCCCCTGAATCGTAAGAGGTTCTTTGGGGTGCAGTGAAAAGGATAAAGTAAATATAAAATGTGTGTTGACAATAAAAACTCTTGCCTTTTTCATAGTATTAGAAGAAAAATTTCTAATTTACCTATAGCAACATTTCAAATGTATTTAAATACATATAATTTTACAAAGGAAAATATATATATTAAAAAGAAATCCTATTTTGTAACATATAGATTTTTATTTTATATGGGTTATACAAACTGCAGGGGCAGATATAAAAATTAAGCCAGATTTTTTTTTTCTCTTTCTTTTAATGGAGGCACAATGAGACACTTAGAAAAGTTATTTTGAAACATAGGCCCATGAAATTCTTCAAAAGGTATGATGCCTTCTTTCTATTCGTGTTATGGTTTATCGCACCTCTAAAGTCAATATTGCAAAATAAACACAAAAGAATACTGCAGGTTCTTTAAAATGATTGATCAGATCAACAATAAGATTCTCTTCTCGTTTAAGTTTTCCTCCCAGTTGACCCTTAGCAGACCCTCTCAGTAAGCGTGACAAGCCAGGCTGCATCTGAGACTAAGTTAGGGTGATTGCCTCTATTCTGCTTACCCCACTTCAGCCTGTTTTGAACAGAAGGTTGATGCTGGGTCTTGAGACATCTTCCCAAACAGTATTCTTTTATTAGGTCGTTTGAATTAATTAGAGAAAAATAGAAATAAAATCTAATCAGCCAGAGCAATGAGGAACAAAGCACACTCTAGAATGTGGTGAGCCCAGGAAATTAAACTTGGCCTTGGGAGAAGAGATCTCTGTGTGAGAATCATGACCTCATCCCAGATGCCATATTGCCACTGTCCAGGAAGAAGTCGTTTACCTGCTGGATAATTGCTTATTCCCATTCCCTCCCTATTCCTACCCACAAAAGTCTCTCCTGCTAGGCTCCCCATCACTGGGATCCCCGATAATTAATTTCTGCTCCACGGGTGGTTGTTTTCCTCTCAGGAAATGAACTCCTCACCTGGGATTTTGAGACGGCATCTTAAGACCTTCTTTTATCTGTCTCCCATCAAGATCCCAAGTGCCCAGAGTACACAGAGATCATAAGATCCTTAGAATTCAAAATAATATTTTAAAATCATCCTTCTGCCCTTGCAAACCTGATGGAGAGACAGGAGCCAAAAGGAGCTCCCACAGATATCTATGCAGCCACAGACTGTCAGATTCCAAGTGCTAGTGGGAGGACCACTGACGCACATATGCAGGCTGCAGGTGCACGGTTAGGAACATTTGTCCTTTCTGTATGGACCAGTCAGATCAATAGTCAGAAAATCTACAGGTATACGAGGGGAGAAAGAGGACCCTGTCCTTCAACAGATAGAAATGCTCTGTAATATAAACACAGGATCCAACTGTCTGAAATCTGCATGTGCTTTCCCCTACATTCTTTCTCCCAAGTTCTGTATGAAAACATTGGTATTTGAGATGAGCATGGCTTTGGGCCCTTTCTGTCTAGGAAGCAAAGGGATTCTCTCTGACTATTAGAAGAAACTCTTTATCTGTGCCCCAGAATTTCATGAAGGAATAAACCTCCCATTCTAGGCTGTGTCTAATGGCCAAGCATCTCTCTCCTTTCTAGAAACTGGCTGTTGAGAATAAGCAAACAGCCGACCACCTATCTTGAGCCTCAGGCCACAGGATCCCACCTCAAAGGCAGAGACACTGATTATCAAACCTGCTGTCCTGCCTGGAAAAGACAGCAGAGGCCAGTGCCCTGATCTGGACAGACCCCCTGAGCTCCAGGATGCTTATACCTAGGGGTACAGATCCTCTATCAGAAGCGACTGCTTTTTAACTTGATGGTATGACAGAATTTAAAAGGAAGAGCATTTGTGCCTATGTTTGAAATTCCAGCAAAATAGTTTTTACCAATAGGTTGTTTCCCCAACCCCCTGTCCTTCCAGATCGTTCCCCAAATTGGCTAGAAGGCTCGCTCAATCCCATGTGGTGAAATCCCTTCCAACCATAACCAGGGAAGAAGGTAAATAAAAGCCTAATAGGCGCCAATAGTTTAATAAAATAATTTTTAAAGTAGGTCTGTAATCCACTCTGGAGGGAAGGAGGAAAGAAGGAAGGAACGAACGGAAAAAGGAAAGGAGGAAAGAAGGAATTGTTCGACATTAGCCCAAATTCCCAGTGCCAAAGGCCTTGATGCGAGACCACTCTTGACCAATTTTAGAAAAGTTTGGTTTTAGCTTTAGTCAGAATTGACATGGCCATTTTCATTTATACAGCAATATTGTGTTTATTATTTTAAAATACTTGAAAAAAAAGTGTGGTATGTCTTTATCTGAGACACTGAAGTGGTATTGACTTCACATGCTGTCACAAGGATGTGAGGAAAGAGAATGAAATCCGTTGTGTGTGTAACTGTGTTGCCTTTATTATACTGGGAGTACTGTCTTGTCACCTCAGGCTGGGGTTGTGCACTTTAGATCTGAACTGTACAGTGTTGCAAATCCACATGTGTTGCTGTAAAAGCTTGTACAATATTTTATTGATATGTCTCTTTCTGTGTGGTAGCTGTATTGATATTATGAGAACTGCATTTGCATCTGTTCCTGTACTCGCTCTCTCTCCCTCTCTCTGCTAAACTGTACGCCCTCCACATCAGCTCTAATAGAGAACATGCCCTCGGTTCAGCTTTCTACTGAGACGTCTCCTTGGAGAATTGTGTGATTTCACAAAATGCAAGGTGAAGGCTCATTCGTCTCTGGGAATAGAAGAAACTAATTAGGGAACATCACAAAATGCCAGAATTACAGATATGGACCCTGCTGGGGTTCAGAGCAGGTTCAACTCCTCAGAATATGGCCAAAGAAGGCACAGGTGTACATATAGAGGCAGGACAAGGAATCAGGCGACCTAACAGTGGGTACCACCTTGCACGTGCTCTCCTGTTTTCCAATGCTAAGTATCAACACTGTGTATTTATTAGTTAACGTGTGCCAAAATACTGTTCCCAATTGGTGTTTCTGAAAGACGTCGACATCTCCCCAACATTACTCCATGACTAAAGACAGAAAAAAATAAAAAATAGAAATATGTGGCAACCTGTTCTTACCAAATATAAACTTGTGTATCATCAAAGTATTTTATCTGTGTTGTCTCTCTAAACCCAAATAAATGTATCAATGTGAACACATCGCAGGCTTTGGATGCTTTTTTCTGACCTTGCCACGTTGTGGGGATAATTTTTAATGAATTTCCTGAATGAATGGCTCTTCACCTGTCACAGAGCTCAGAGTGTCTTCCGGTCCTTGTTACAGAAAAAAGCTCTTCCTTCTGCAGTGGCCCCTACTATAGCTTCTGAAGGATATTGTTTACCACTCTGGTTTCTCCATCAATCAGATCCAATCTTTTTTTTTTTAAAATACTTTATTATGGAAATTTTCATGTACATAAAAAGTGGGAAAAATCGTATAATAAACTCCCAGGAAAGCGTCACCCAGCTTCAACATTTACTGATTCAGAGCCTGAATCGTATTTCATCCGTTCTCCCACCCTATTTCCTCCCCAACACCAAATTATTTTTATATGAATCTATAAAAGATAAGGACTCTTAAAATAAAAGTCTTCAAGACGATTATCACAGCTAAAACTATAATAATAACGTTGCCATAATAACATCAAATATCCAGTGTGTGCTCTCATTTGCCTGATTCTCAATTCTCTAGCGAAACCCATGGCCCATAGCCTGAGGCCCAGGAAACCCAGTGAGGCCCACTCATCATTCAGGACGGCTGAGACACAGAATTCAGGCGCACAATACAGCGCTATACACACACGTACACACTTGGGCTATGCACAGGCTGTTGTGTATTTTCCATTGTGTTGAGTTTGTTTCTGGACCTCTGTGTGCTGTGAATTTTGGAGGAATCACGTGTTCAGGGGCTTTGCCTCCAGGATCGTCGGGGTTACTTAATTGGTGGAGCGTATAAGAAGTGCAGCAAGGTTAAAAACTAGAAAGTCATGGAACTTAATTGGTGGAGCGTATTCTGATGTGCCTATCAGCTCCAGGCTGCCCCTAAGGGCTTGAGATGCTCTTAATGATATTAGTCTGGAGTAGAGATAGACTTCCAGCAGATGTGGGGGGTGGGGGAGGACAGAAAGGGGAGGAGGAGAGGAGGTTTCTAGAAAATTTCAGTATGTTTATAGGGGAACCAATGGACAACAGCCAAATACAGAGGGAACACCTTGCACCTTCCTGCCTTGTTCACATTACTCCCCCAGCCAAGGAAGCATCTCCCATTCTCTGGAGAGCAACGTCTCGTGGATGTCGTTACAACAGTCCCTTCTTCATGAGGTTTCTCTGTGGGTTAAGTGAAATGTATGCATAGCACTTAGCAGGGTGCTCTGCACCCAATAAGTGCTCAACAAACCTTGTTCTTGTCATGATGATGGTAATTGTATGTGAATTCTACAAGTCAGTTCTTGTCGCCTCCTTAAACACGCACCCTCTTCTGGATTCCCCAACTACTTTCTCTCGGTCAGTAGTGTTCACTGGGTAACTATCTAACAAGTTCAGGCTGGGAATATCTTTTGCCTTTTCTCCTGTGCAACCAATGTTGATGATAAGCAGAGTCTGTTTCTTATCCTTCTGTGTTATCACCCCTCCCTCCTTACCTCCCTCCCACAACACACACGCCCCTGACAAAAGTCTCCAGTCTCCAGTGGTGTCCTACCAGCAGAAGGCACCCCATCCATAAAGTCACTGGATCATCCGCTGCTGCGTGATGTGACCTTAGCCAAGCCAGCTTCCTCAGCTGAGAAATGAGGGCAGGCCTACCTGATCGCCAAGGAAGAATGTAGGTGGAAGATGTTTAAGACTATAGATTTATAAACCTAGAAAGGCCCTTAGTTGTATTAATTAATTCAGCTAACCTTTATTGAGGGGCTATGGTATGCCAAATGTTTTCATATATTAACCCAGCACCTTCATTTTATAGATGGAAAATTGAGACTCAGAGAAGTTTCGCCATTTTGCAAAGTCAGTGAATTCACAGCACCAGAAGCACTTTTCGATGAGTTGACACACCTGGCAAAGCCTCAGCACACTGCCCACCCATTCTAGACAGCCTGGCTTCATCTGGTCTACCATCTCTCCCTAACTACATCTTCCCTTCCACTGTTAACACTCTCCCCATGCTCAGTGTCACACAGGCGTTTTCTGACCCTGCCCCAGGGCCTTTGCCCTTGCTGTGCCCTCTGCCTAGAACTCTATGGCCCCACAATTTTCCACAGCTGGCTCCTTCTCAATCAGGCTGGGCTCCAATACCACCTCCTTGGTGAGGCCTTCCCAGACCAATGGATCTAAATTTCTTCACTCTCTATGTCACTGCCTTTGTTTTTCTCATAACAATTTTCTCATCATTCATTTCTCACAAACTTCTAGAATGCTGTAGTGGGAGGTGACGATCCAAACCATCCCTATCCACAAAAATTTGTGATTAAAATCAGAATTTTCTTCAACTCTATAATTGTCAAAGTGAGAAGATTGATGCATGCATGTATGAGAAGAGCAACATGACCCATTGTCACATCCTGATAATATACAATCACTAAAGGCTTTTTAATAGTGCCCTGCCTGATACTAATTTTCCCTGATCACCCCCCACCTCAATTAGAGCTTAAAATGTGCTTTTACGTGATTCTTCACATTTTAACTTGGACTTCTTACACTCTGCTTTTATGAATTAGATTTTTTTTAATTTAACTTTTGAGCAAGCTAACAGAACTGTTGCCTACTCCACTTAGATCAACACATCTAGCTCTAAAATTAAACCCAAGGCAATGTTCGGGTTAACTCGCTTTTTAGCATCTGAGATAACTCTGACTGAGGTTCCATTTGTGTTTTCCATGAACAGGGCCAGCCAGAGCAGGCGAGCTCTTATCATTGATTTGCCTATTAAAACACATATACACGAATATATGTATACTTGTATATATACATGTTACATATACACACTTACACTTATATATATAGATCAAAGTGCACACGTACACACACATCCATTATAATTTAATGGACTTAGTGGTCCAACAGTAAAATTCTAATTTGTTTCAGTTATTGAGCAAGTACTCATCAAACGATCCATGGCTCAGAGTTCGTTTAAAGAGAATTGGAGGGATAGATTTTCCCCCAAAATAAGCCATGGAGCTATGAAAACACACTGTGAACATTTGGTTGGTTAATAGGCATAACTGTCTATGTTTATGAATCGGAGAGGCCTGGGAAGGAGGAAGGGCCGAGAGCAGGCAAGCAGGGGAGGGCAACAGGCTCCAGGAAGTACCTGAGTGACCGTCACCACCTCGTCAGCCCGCTGTTCACCCTTCTCCCAGCCCCCGAGCTTTGTTACGCCAGTGATGTCTGAGGAAGACGTGAAATAAAAATTGCTTTAAAAGAGGGAAGTAACTACAAATGCACAATTTTCTGCCATCGAGAGAGCAGATGATTGCAGGTAAAAGGAAAGATAGGATAAAACTTTTGACATGAGAAGCCCAGAGGGTGGATAGAAATAGATCAAAGACCATGTAAGTGAATATAGTCACCTCGGATCCGGCATGCTCCTCAGCTGAGGGACTCAATGGCCCTTTCTCCACACACAGGCTCACTGAGTCCCCTCCCAGTAGCCCAATGCGAGAAAGCTACTTCCATTTGCCAAGTATCTCACTAGAAGAAAATATCACGAATGAGAAAGCCTGACTCGCTTTCACCTTCGCCACACAGCTGTCCTCATGCACCCTCAGGAAAAAAACACTGCACTTTTAAAGGCTTCATCTGCGTACTCTGCCCCTCACCAGCATCCATGTCACCTTGAATCTATTCTCCAGCTGTTTCTCATTTGTCTTATCTTTCCGTTTTACTTTAAGGGCAAGGACAGGCCTTCTAGTCACAGGCTTAGATACCTGGAAAGACTCTGAAAGACCCTCTAGTCCAGAGCTTCACAAACCCTGGACTGGGGCCCCAGGCAGAATAACGACACCTCCAGTCGGGGGCAAAATAATCTGAAGATGACAAAGACAGGGTTTCGCACAGCTGAATCCATTCAGACGGAAGGTCAGTCTCTCTAGTCTCAGCTTACGTGCCTGTTACATTTTGTTGTTGCTGTTCTTCATTAATGCCCTACCATGTCTAAAATGATAGTGATGATATCTTATCTGGCAAAAGAAAGAGTTAGAAACTCTGCTAACTGCATTTTGTATGAAAACCGTAAATCTAAGAACCACTAATTCTATCAAATCTTTCAGATACCCCCGCTCCCCAACCTCCATTTCAAGGCACTTAATCAGACTTTAATAAATGCTATTTCAATTGACTTGAATATTTATAAGTCAAATTGAAAGCTTTGAAAGACTGTAGATTGTGCTGTAGTCTACATGTTGCTAGAAGCTACTGATTTGCCAATAATATTTTCATCTTCAGATTCACACACATCCTGATACCTCTTGGCATTGGAGTCCTCATCCTTGGTTGTTTGCACTTTATTGCAATTTACACAGGCGGGTGCTATCTTTGGCTTCACTCCGGCAATGCAAAATAATGAGATTTTCATCTTTTTTTCCAAGGCAACCACTTAAATATATTAGAAACCAAGATCTTTCATGATGTTTCGAACAAACAAAAAACATTCAAAATTAGTCTTTGATCGATGGATGAGAGTTGTGACCATGAAATATTAAAGGCACCTCTTTGCTTCGCTCTGCTAACTTCAGATGAGAGTGAGTTATAGGGTTGTTCATGATCTAGATGTTTCTCAGGCTCCAGTAAGTAGAATGGCAATTCTTTTTCGACTTCACATTTCGTAAAGTTTCCTTGTCTGTGATTCAAACAAATTTACATGTGTGACGCCATTTGCCGCTGCATGGAAGCTGACAAGTCTCAGCAACATATATCAAAACGTCCACTTAGGAAAGCACCTGGCTTAACATCTGTTTTTGCTTGTGTGAAGGAAGCTCTGATTGGAAATTACTTTATTTAATGCAGTGCTTTTCTTTATTCTTGGATCCCGGTTAATTCCTAGCGGAAGCCTGCAGGAGGGGAGAGAGAGGGAGACGAGTATGAGGTGAGAGAAACAAAACTGCTATTGTTGTTTTAACCTCTTCATCCCAAAAGGGAATTAGAGAGGGCTTTTCTCTTCTGGC